AGCATAAAAATCATATTTGGCATATAAAGTAAAATTGATTTTTCCCGGCAGTTTCCCCCCTTTCTATTGCAAAGGCCTCATATTATTTATAATTAATTTTTGTAAATGATTTAATATTAGTATATTAAATATTATGTAATAATGCTTTTTAAGTATGAATTTTATTTTTTTTAAACTAATATCCTTTTAGATATAATAACTTAAAATTATTATATAATTTTATTATTTTATTATATTATGTTTTTATTTTTTTAATTAAATAAAAATTTATATCAGAAAATATTAATGATAATAAATTTATATAAACGTTTATATAATTGTATTATCTTAATTCATTATTCTATTTATTGATTATATAAGAAGATGCTTAAAGATTATTTGGATTCTTTTTATAATTAATATCAAATAATTTTTTCTATTTAAATTTGATAGTTAAAAATAGTCACTATAATTAAAAAAATAGCATAATTGAATTGCAACTTGTGATGTAATTAAATTTTCTTATAGTACAATTACAGTTTTCAAAAAAAGTAATGAGAATTATATTTTTATTTATTGCGTAATAAATAAAGGTCAAAAATACATGAAAAATTTATAAAATGTTGTTCATCATACTATGATTATATCACTAAAAATTATTTAGTAATCTATCTTATCACCATTACGTTCGATTACCTGTTCTAATCTCGATAGCATGTTACAGATTAAATTAACGAAAATTTTAGGCTCGTTTTCCTCCTATTTTTTTTGAATTATCTCACAAAAAACATCTACAGTAATTGGATTTTTTTAACCACTAGTTTGTTAACCTCTTTCTTTACACAGCTCTTCATTATTTCTCATAAATTTTCTATAGAATTGAGGTCAGGGCTGTTTGATGACCAGTCTATCAACCTCAGACAATGATCTGCAAGTAATTTCTTGGTTTCCTTGGCTGTGTGCTTGGGATCGTTATCTTGTTAGAATACCTAAGACCTTCTCATGATAGAATTAGCATTGTCAAAAAGATTTTCCTTTAAAATTTCACGATAAGAAGCACTATCCATATTTTCAGTAAAAAGAAGAATGTTAATTTAACCTTTGATTGAAATTGCATCACACACATGAACTTTATATGAATGTTTACCATAGGCTTTTGTAGAGGCTTTGTACCAGCTTTGTAGAATACTTTTTGGATATACCTAAATATCTGAAATGTAACTTCATCAGAGAAAATGACTTTATTCCAGTTTTGGTTTTTATATTTTGTAGCATATTCAATATGCTTCTGTTTATGTTTGTCTGTAAGAAGGAGTATAGATTTACTTTACAAATATAATTGAGGTCATGAAGCTCATTAAGCACTGTGCAGTCAGTTATGTCAAGGTTGGTATACTTGACATTTAAAATATTTGCAAACTCAGTGTATGTTGAGAATTTGTTTATTGAGATTAGCTAATCAAGATAGCGGCGTTTTTTAGGAGAAAGTTTCTTTGGTCTTTCAGGTTAAAGTAAAGGGTCTAAATTGGTATTTTTTTTGAGTTTTTTGATATATTTATAAACAGTAGAGAGAGGAATAGAAGTTAGTTTGTGTAAAGTTTAGGTGTCTTGGGTACCATTTTTCCATAAAGAGATTATTATAGTATAGCGTTGTTTTAGTGTAATTTGAGCCATTATATGTCTGGTGTAACCTTAGCAAAATGTAAGCAAAACAAAAACAATGATGATCATCATAAATAAAAATGATTGTTGTGTTATCACGTAATAGGAATTTTCGTAAATTGTATATTGCAGAAAATTTTAAGTTTTTTTCCGCTACATTTTATTCTCATTATTTTTTTCGAAAACTGTAAGTTTTAACTCAATTAAAATTTGAAAATAATTATGAAAACCATCTTTATTACAGCTAATTTCATAATTCATAAACTATTAATAATTTTTCAGTCACATTCAGTCACAATTTATTAGTGGTTCATGAATTATAAAATTAGCTGTAATAGTATTTCAACTTTTTTTCAAACTTTATAAGGATTATTTATTACCACTCATTATATTTAAATTTAATCTGTTTATTTTGATATAATACTACTAAATAATAGTATTGATAAATTTTTTATACAAATAAAATTTATATTCTTACTTTACTAATTTTATAAATAAAAAAATATATATTCTAAATCTGTATGTCCTAAATTCTTAGGATCTGAAACTTCTATTATTTAATAAATATTTATAATTCACTAACTATTAATATAAATAGTTGAAAGAAAATTTTATTTAAAATTTGTTTATTAATTTTTTTATTATCATAATTACATATTTCAGTAAATCTTATTTTTGAGTTAAATAATATTTGATATAAAGAGATTATTATATTAGAAGAAATAGTATTAATAGGACTAATAACACTATTTGTCTTATAAATATAATCAGACTAAAAAGGCAAAAACTGAATTCACTTTAATTATAGTTATTATAAAATTAGTATAATAAGGATTTTATTCTTAAATATATAGGACAATATGTTATTATCATGTAATTTTCATTAAAAGCATTTAAATATTTCAAAATGTAATTTTTCATTCAATTTCTTATTATTACTAATAATACATCATATCGTTTGGTTTTATTTATTATTATAAAAATATTTGAGAAATAGCAATTTTAAGAAATAAAAAATTCTTATATAAAGTAATTTATATATTGTTAATATTATTACCAATTATTAATAAATTTTCTATATTTACAAACAGATCATAATTTAAAAATAAATATTTTTACTTACCTCTTTTTATAGGTTGCCAAAGTTTTTCAGAATCCTAATTTCCTAAATTGAATGAGAATCAATAATAAGTAATATATTTTCTTTTTTAAATATAAAAGTAATATTTTTACTTATCTTTTTTTTATAGGTTATCAAAGTTATTAAAACCTTCTTGAATTCTAGAATTCTAATTTGAATAATAAATACAGATTGTTTTTCTAGATTTGTGAAGTAAAGATCAAATTAAAGTTTTATGAGTTTAATCACTAATCTTATTTGATTAGTTTGAAGTTTTGACTAAGTTTAGACATTTTAATATTTATTTAAAGTTATTAAAACCAGTCAAAACATTTAGACTTTGATAGTTTTAGTTTAAACTTTTGACATTAGTCTATTAAGATTTCGTTCTGCAATTATACTAAACCTCTTTTGCTATAAGAATTCTTAAATATAATTTATTATAGAAATTCAATTTATTATAAGGTAGTTACATTATATTACATAAACCACCAATGATTTAGACTGTATTTATTTGTGATTAAGTTTGCTTTAAGCAGAAGCTTTTTAATTATAAATTAGAATATATTAAAGTAAAAATTACTTATTAGTAACTAGGCAGTCTTTTTTACCAGTAGAAAAGAGAAATTAGTAATTTATCTAATGAAATGATAGATATTATTATACCTTGAGATTCAAAATAATTCTAATAAAACGGATATTAATATAACCGTTGGCAAAAAAAAACCGGATATACAGTAAATCTGAAGGTCGATCCGGTTCCAACCTCTAATTTGAAATTTGATGCTTCCTCAGTTCCGTCAATAAATTCATATGAGTCCTTAGAAATATTTCTACATAGAAATTCATTACTGGGAAAAGTTTCTCCTTTATTTCCGCTTTAAAATTTATAAAAGGAGGTTCCGATCTGAAACGCTAAATGATGATTTGTGTAACAGTTAGCAATTATTTCTATTTCAAATCGCACAATAAATTTGTAAGTTTTCAACTTTATTAATTTTATTTAGCAAAGCGAAACATATTTTTTTTCATTTTGTATGATAACTTTTTAAAAAGAATAAATGCATAATTATATTGAATAAAAACAAATGCATTTAAAAATAAAAAATATGAACACCTTTATCTATTATCTCTGCTCTTTTTTTTTGAAAATTCTTGTATTCAACCGATATTTTATTGCATGAGCAATGCTCTTTCTAATGAAATCGCTTCTAAAGGATCAAATTCTATTGGTAATTCCACATATGGTAAAATATTATATACCCATCTAATTATTGTATTTTTTCCAAGCATTTTTGACCGATCAAACATTATAGTTAAAGATATTGAATAATTTGAATATGACGCGGTTAAGTGCCTAATATGGAAAAATCGGTAAGTATATAATCATTATAAGGTTGTACAAGACTATTAACTTACCACCAAGCGTGTAGTTGTGGATTCGATACTTTATTCAACTCGTTACAAAAATGATAATCGATATGCCATCCTAGGTATCCAATTAAAAATATTATAGTTCCTCGGAGCATTAATGATCTTATACTTGTTTCACCCTTTAAATTAATTACGATTGAAATTACATGCAGGTATACGCAGATCGACATTAAAAAGAATGATCCTAATTTTTAATTTAATGTATTAATGAAAATGTAATGAGCGTCATGTCAAATGGTAATGTAAATTGTTACCTTGAAAGATATAAAATTCTAATAATTTCATGATTTTATTTTGATAATATCCTCCCAAAAATATTAATATTGTCGAAACAGTAAATCCCCACAAGAAAAGCGTAATTGGGAACCAATTCCCAAATCTTTTCTCTTTCTTGTTTTCATTTACCGAATAAAATAAAACCAATATATAAAAAATCATTGGTATTCCATCAAATGTTGTACAGCGTTCCGTGAAATAGAATTGACCCGAATCCTATAACGGTAATTCTAAAAAATTATCATAAAAACGTGAAAAGGATTGGTTTTAAATTTCATGGATATCGATGAAATTTATTTTTAAACTTACGTTCTAAAACATAATGTAAATCTATAATCAAAAGCTTTAGCATGCATTACGGAGCCATATATTCCCATGCAGACGAGAAACAACGACGATATGGTATTAAAAAATTCTGCGACATAGTAATTCACCTCATAATTTTTCTCGCACCAATCTAGTATGAGAGAAATAAAATAAGTGAACATATCCGCGAAATTGCTTCTAAAGAAAAAAAGACGTGGATTACGAAAGATATGTAAAGAACACAATATTATTAACTCACCAAATATTAAATGTTTGAAATGAATTTCACATGACCTTTATTAATATATTATTACGTAATACATAAATTTAAAAAAAATAGCCGATAATATTAATACATTAATACCTGTAGAAGTGGGTTCTCCCCAAAATCCAATAGTGGAATTCATTTAAGTAATTTTAAGTAATCAAATTATAGTCGAAAGGTCAAGTGAAGCCTCTTTAATAAATTTAGATCAAAGAGATGGAAACTTGGTTATTTATATATTTATTTAGCTTCATGGAATAGGAGAAAATATGGTTTAAAGATGGATCTGCAATTGTTGCAGATATCTAGGTCTAGTGATACAAATGCATAGGAATCTGAAAAATGCAATGCGGACAGTTGAAATTCTTAATGATCCAAATAGCCATACGAATAGGATATGAGCTTTTAAAACAGGTAAATGTGTGACATTTGTAACTATAGGAGCAGTAATGGCAAGAGCGTTAGTAGAAAAAGCATCTAAGTTGATAATTCATCTATTAAAGCTCATGCTTATTTTAGAGATATGGACGGAAAACAGAGACAAAAAGATTCTAATATTAATAATACCTGGACTGTATGGCTTATATAAAAACAGTGGAAGCGGATATATCTTTTAAGATTACAAGGCACTTTGATATAGTTATAGCCATTACAAATATCACCACTCCAGTTCATGTAGAAGCTCTTGAACAAATGCATTATCGAATTCGTGATTGTTCTCATCATATTGTTTCTGTATTCTATCAGAAAAATTCTATCGAACTTTTATCCACCAGGTTCGGCTTGGGCTATAATGCTTTGCTTTTTCCTTAGGACTATGATCTAATCCACGCCTATTCTTTCCTAGTAGGATCCAACGATTCTCTTCCATGAGTTATGCTGCAGCGAGATATCGTTCCGTATATAATGAAAAGATTAAAACGTACTGGCACGAGTTCACAGCCACTTTTCGATCAAAGAAGAAAAAAGAAACATATTTGACTGTATAATATATTGTCTCAGGATAGTCCCACTACATTAGCTAACTTCTATTGACATAAAAAAAATTCAAGAATAACTTTGTTAGATAAACTTATTCCTTGGATCGAAAGAGAAGGAAAAAAGGCAGATAGCAACAGTAGTAGTAGCAGTAATTATAGTAGCGAAAATGATAATTAATTGGCAAGGAAAGGAACTCTCATTTGATGGGTTAGGGTTCGAGAAATTCCTCTCTTTAAATTCGCTACTCCATTAATTTTACTATATTCGTTTTTTAATTAATAAATATTTTCGCTACTTCTGGCTTTTATAATAAAAAAGGCACATGTGAATCTACCGAAAATTTTTATATTTTAATTTTTTAGCATTGTTTAATTCTTACAATTTAATCTCGAAAACATATTGTTCTAGATCATCACGAAACTGTTGTACCCGAAATGCGTTAATGTCCGAAATGATCATTTCGGACATTAACGCATTTGGGCTACAACAAAGCCATTCAGTTTGTCGGCTCCATAGTTATAAAAACGAAATTTATCAAAATTTGATTTATTTTTGGAACAACAATATGTAAATGGATCAGAAATCTTACTTGTAGATGGGTTTTCCATGTATTAAGACCATATAATAGCAGATACTGTACAATGCTAAACTGATATTTACATTTTTTCCTGCAGTTATTGTTTGATATAAATGATAAATTCCATTACGCTGAGGTGCAATAGCATCAACTGACACAAAATTTTTAATTTTAAGAAAGTTATAATACCCGGAATTTATTTCTCATACCGGTTAAGTTCCAGAAGCTTTTCATACATGTCGTTATTTCTGTACCTGTCATAACTTGATTCTTCTTTCGTTTTTTACTCCAATATTCTCAAGGTAATCCTCCCAAATGGTCTTCTTTAATTCTGTAACGTCCTTATATTTGCCGATTTCAAAGTTGAAACAACCAACCATGATGTATCTGCACTTACGAAAGTGAGAAAGAGCTTATAAAAATTTTAAATTTTAGGCATAATATATATACTGTAAATAAAGTGATACGTCATACGCATCAGATCCTTTTTCCTGTTCGATCGTCATTTTTTATACAACGAAAAAATTTCCAACCCGAACTGGTTCCATATTTGACTTATTTAGATGTGTGCAACAGAACGATTTAAAAAATATACTCTATATTCTCCGGTTTAAAAGAACTGAGGGAGCTTGCAAAGCTAATAACTATTTTTTTTGTTCAGAAATTTCGAGGACCTTATTCGACGGAGAACATAAACTTTCGGTGAGTTTTACTAAGGTTAATATTGTTAATTTATTTCTGAAGTTTCTCCCTTTATTAAGATTTACCATTATTAAGCTTGGAGAAGAAAGGTAGAGAGAGACTTGTAAAGAAATGGCATTTTATAATTTACAGTGGCGATCATAAATAATGCAACAAAAAAATAAAATTCTTTAAATTTAAATATTTCTTTCAATTCTAGAGATA